GCCTGGTTCCCTGTAGCCTCACTTCTCGCAATGAGGGAACCGCCAGAAGGCCCTTGGCGCTGGATCTCAGTGTCCGGGCTGAACGATGGGGGTGGAGACGCTCCTTCAGGTATACAGGACCGAGGCCGTTTAGGGCTTTAAAGGTCAGCACCAACACTCTGAATTGTGCTCGGAAACGTACTGGGAGCCAATGCAGATCTCTCAGAACCGGTGTTATGTGGTCCCAGCGGCCCCTCCCAGTCACCAGTCTAGCTGCCGCATTCTGGATTAATTGCAGTTTCCGGGTCACCTTCAAAGGTAGCCCCACGTAGAACGCGTTGCAGTAGTCCAAGCGTGAGATAACTAGAGCAGTGTTTCCCAACCTTGGGCCTCCAGCTGTTTTTGGACTACAACTCCCATCATCCCTAGCTAGCAAGACCAGTGGTCAGGGATGATGGGAATTGTAGTTCAAAAACAGCTGGAGGCCCAAGGTTGGGAAACACTGAACTAGAGCATGCACCACTCTGGCGAGACAGTTTGCAGGCAGGTAGGGTCTTAGCCTGCGTACTAGGTGGAGCTGGTAGACAGCTGCCCTGGACACAGAGTTAACCTGCGCCTCCATGGACAGCTGTGAGTCCAAAATGACTCCCAGGCTGCGCACCTGGTCCTTCAGGGGCACAGTTACTCTATTCAAGACCAGGGAATCCCCCCACACCAACCCGCTCCCTGTCCCCCAAAAACAGTACTTCTGTCTTGTCAGGATTCAACCTCAATCTGTTAGCCGCCATCCATCCATCTATCCCTATCCCAATTCATTCACCTGTGAAAAATCACCTACATGCATGCGAGAACCAGTCCCAAGAGACTTGCACTACTTGGAACAAACTAAGGCATCCAGAGAAAAGGAATGGGGGTGTTTTACCAAGTCTCCCCCCCCCCAGTCCCCTGCCTGTAAACTTGAACTGGGCAATTAGTTTTTGAGGAAACATGAACCCCCTGCTTACCTGATCACCTGTCCTCTTCCAGTGTTCCCCTTTGCCAACACCATATAACACACTTCTTCACTCATTCTGTTCACAAGAATCACATTTTGCCTAAGAAAATTTCCCTGAACTAGAGTAAATTCCCTCTGAATCACGGATGTACTGACTCAGGGTTATCTTCACAGACACATTTTATTTATTGAAAACCTTCCCTTTAACAGGTTCTCAAGGCGGCTTACAAGACTTTATGGCAAAACAAAAGCATTAAAACACTAGTATAAAAGCAGTCAGCGGAATTAAAAGCAAACACCAACAGCAAAGAAACAAAACGCAGAGAGCGAAAAAGCCTGGGAAAAGGAAAAGGCCTTTGCCAGTGCCAAAATGACATCAAGGTAGGTGCCATGTAAACCTCCTTGTGGAGAGCACACCATAGTTGAGAGGCCACCATCAGATAGTCAGCAACCTTTCCCCTGTAGCCACCTGTCATACCTCAGATGGAGGGGCAACCCAAAGAAAGGCCTCTGCTGAAGATCTCATTGTATGGGTGGATGAGCAGGCACAAGTGGAGACCAGCAGTCTTTCAGGCATCCTGGTCTGAAGCCATAAAGGCTTTTAAAGGTCAAAATCCACACACTGAACTGAGCCCAGACACAGACTGAAAGCCAGCTAAGTTGGTGAAGCATAGGAGTAATGGGATCACAATGCCTGGATTCAGTTAATAGACTCACAGTTGTACTTTGAACTAATGGAAGCTTCTGAACTGCGTTGTAAGGCATCCCATATACATTGCATTACAGTACAGTGGTACCTCGGGTTACGAGCTTAATTCGTTACGGAGGTCCGTTCCTAACCCAAAACCGTTCTTAACCTGAGGTACCACTTTAGCTAATGGGGCCTCCCACTGCTGCCTCGCCACGCGATTTCCGTTCTCATCCTGGGGCAAAGTTCTCAACTCGAGGTACTACTTCTGGGTTAGCGGAGTTTGTAACCCAAAGTGTTTGTAACCTGGAGAATTTGTAACCAGAGCTACCACTGTAGTATAATTTGGAAGTTACCAAGATGTGGATCACAGAGACCAAGGTATCTGTCTAGATACAGTTGCGGCTGGTGCACCAGTCTAAACTGGTATAACATGCTCAGCACCACAGAGGCAAACTATGCCTCAGGTGGCAACGATGGATCAGTAGGCAATCCCTCTTCAGAGGGGTTGCACTCCAGCAGAGGGTGAACATAAGTAACATGGGGAGATGAATCATCTCCGTCCTGTCTTGTCTAGGCTGAGCTTCATGTTCTTTGCCTTCACCCAGTTAATTACTGAACCCATCTAGTCCTGGTTTATCACCATCATCACTTAATATGAGTTGGGTGAAAACGAGAAATAGAGCTGTCATCTGCATATAGATACAACTAATTTCAACTTCCCTGATGATGACTTCACTCAGTAGTTTCATTTGTATGGAGGACAAAGATGTCAGGAAGTCAAGCAGTGGCTCCCCCTGCACCACCTTCTGAAATTGGCTGCCCAAGTAGGTGTGCACACTTTACTGTGCAAAAGAACCCCCCCTTTTTTCTTTCCCTATTTCAAGCCTTGCTCTCTTCTATCATATCTCCACAGCACAGATGGGGCTACCTGCCTATATCACACAATTGAGTCATACTATCAAGTTCTCAGCTACTGGTCAGTTGGTTTGGACTCCTCATTGTGTTTTCATACCAGAGTGTGACAAAATCCAGTGCTATGGGAAGAGAACAGTAAGTAGGCAAATCACTCCTTTGAATTAAGTGGCATTGATTAACACCCCCCTCCCCCAATGAATATTTCTGTTCTTCCTTCTGCATCTTCCAATATCTGAAAGACAAATATGGATTGGCTGCTATTGTGAAATAGGGCACATTCCATTACAGTGGTACCTCAGGTTAAGTACTTAATTCGTTCTGGAGGTCCGTTCTTAACCTGAAACTGTTCTGAACCTGAAGCACCACTTTAGCTAATGGGGCCTCCTGCTGCCGCCGTGCCGCCGGAGCACGATACGATTTCTGTTCTCATCCTGAAGCAAAGCTGTTAACCTGAAGCACTATTTCTGGGTTAGCGGAGTCTGTAACCTGAAGCGTATGTAACCTGAAGCGTATGTAACCTGAGGTACCACTGTATTTAATTGGTCCAAATGTCTTGCAGCATGACATGCTTCCTAAGGAAGCATAAGTAGTCCACTTGTTGAGCACATCTGGCCCCTCACAGCACACACTTTGTGGTAACAACATGGCTGCTCAGTTTGGTACTAAGGAGGCAAGGCACAAGCCTTTCTTCTATCTGTGTCTTCTTCACTTTCTTCTATCTGGCTTCTTCACTTGAGAGAATGTAACAAATCCTTTTGATTCTTTCCTGTTATTTCTGCCAATTGGATCATTACGTTCATTGGGCCTAAATCCTTTTTTTTTTTTTTTAGCTAGAAAAGTGGAAGTTTCAGCACAGAAACCCAAGAGTTGTGCAGCTGAAATAATGCAGTTTCCAGTCTTCAACTACCCCCCCCATTCAACTACTCCCATTTGTGTGTAGCATGTGCCACAAGCAGAGGATTAATCAAGGCACAGCTTGTCATATGTATTCCTATTCTGAAAGAGGAATATATGCTTTTAAACAAAGCTGGTCTTCCAGAATGGAATAAAACCGCCACAATGCAGTGTGCACAATTCCCAACTTAAGAGAGCGTATCCAGATAAACACAATTGCTGATATTGACAACTACTAGGAGGTCCAGCAGAATCAACAAGGTCCTGCTCCTTCTGTTTTCTGGTGTAGGCCATCTATCAGGATGGCCAAGACAGTTGCTGCATCAAATGTAGGCCTAAAGTCCAACTGAAATGGATCCTGATAATCGGTCTCATCCAAGAAGTAATGAAGTTGGCACAGCCACCACTCACTCAAAGCACTTTACTCAGAAAGTTGCAAATAGTGGTTCTAACAGCAACCACACATATGCTTCCTACAAACAACTTTGATGACCTTGGGACAGTTTTGTCTTGAGACGTAGAAAGAGTGCTGTCTGGTAGAGTTCTGAGGGTTCCTTAACACCTTCCAGTGGCAGACCTTGGCGGTTCCAATTTCAGTGGTGTCCTGTGCAACACCAAAATCCAGTGCCCCCTGCCTCTCGCCTTCCATTGGACTTAATAGTTGTGGTGCCTGCTGCAGCACTCCAGAAGCTCTGCGCCCAGTGCAACTGAACCAGTTGTGCTCTCCTAGATTTGTATCTGCAGCATCTGTTGGCTCACAACAAAGATGATCCAGGGTCACTCAGAAAAACTCTGCTGGGAACACAATGATGGCCAGGAGCATTCTAATATTTCCAACCACTCCTGCAGAATAAAGTAGGTGCTGGCTCTGTAAACCTCAACAGGAACTGATCTGACCATGGTGAGATTCATATCCTCAGCTATGATCCTAGCATCTATCTCCTACCCTGGAAATGCCTTCAAAAGCTGGTGCCACATGTCCAAAGTACTGGAGCTTTCCTCAGTTGACAGCTAGTAGTTAGTTTCTCTGCTCCTGCATAGCTCTTGTTTTTCCACCAGCAACTGGGGAACAGGAGCTGTGTAGAAAATTTCTCTCATTGCTCCTCTGCTGGTCCAGCTGCCTTTTCCATCTTCTTGGGAAACACTCAGTATCTGGAACTTCCTTGGCCTTAGGTAAAAATCAAGTAAAAAAGTCCTCCTTTTATCAGGAAAGCCACAGAAAAAATATATCCAATTAATATCTGATAACATAAATCCAAAATTATATCCATTGCTTTTAAAATGTTCAACCCACAACCAGTTTTATTCTTGCCTTCATTCATAACTCCATGAGCTGCTACTCTTCAAAACAGGATCCAGAGCATGTGGTCCCACAGCCCTGTCAACTAGCTTTTCTATTGGTGCCCTCACAATTAAAGCCAAATACTGTGAGGCAATTACCTTAGAATAGCATGCTAATTTTTATTGTGGGAATCTTTTGTCAGTTGACTTGAGAGCCTCCCAGGAATAAAAAGCAGGATATAAGCCTTCAAAATAAATAAATCCCATTTATTCTTGCACACAAAAAGTTGCCACAAATAACAGGTTAAAACATATTCATTCTTTGTAAATTTTCCAATTGGTCTTCTAGCTTGTATTGATCACTGCAGAAAACACTCATAGGGCTGGGTAATAGTACGACAGGAGCCATCATGAGATGCTGAGCACTTCATTTAAATAGGGGCCTTTAGCAGTCTTTAAAATATAAATACAATAATGGGATGGTAAGATATGTGTATTTTTAACAAAACAAAAAAGTGCTTATGTTCAATAGGCTTTGAAATGCAGAACAGGCAAATTCTGTGGAATCTTTTATGTTTTGCGCTTTGAATAAGAGCTGGGTAGCAAAAGTTGGGGCAAGTGCCTACAGTAATGGCCTGTGTGTGTGTGTGTGTGAAGCAAGCTTTATCAAATTTGTATGGACTGATTTTTTGCAATGTGTTTCTAGGTTCCTAAATTGCAGAGATCGCGGCTGCTACCCTGTGCCATTACTTGGGGGGCAGCGGGTGTCACTTCAGAGCAGCCATCCTGCTGTTCGTTGAGGCAGCAAGCCTGTGTCTCCAGGGTAGAACACTTCATACTTCCTGTGTAGCTGAGCGCTCCGCCATGCCACACGTAAACAAGATCCTTCTGAATACTGGAAGAAGAAATCAAGAAAACAGCATGTCAAGAATTGAGTTCCTGTCAAACCTTCCCGTTAACACCTATTCCACCTCCCCCCAGTTTAGGTGTATTAAAAGCAGAGACATCACCTTGCCAACAAAGGTCCGTATAGTAAAAGCTATGGTTTTCCCAGTACAGTGGTACCTCGGGTTAAGTACTTAATTCGTTCTGGAGGTCTGTTCTTAATCTGAAACTGTTCTTAACCTGAAGCACCACTTTAGCTAATGGGGCCTCCTGCTGCCGCCACACCGCCAGAGCACGATTTCTGTTCTCATCCTGAAGCAAAGTTCTTAACCTGAAGCACTATTTCTGGGTTAGCGGAGTCTGTAACCTGAAGCGTATGTAACCTGAAGCGTATGTAACCCAAGGTACCACTGTAGTGATGTATGGAAGCGAGAGCTGGACCATCAAGAAGGCTGATCGCCGAAGAATGGATGCTTTTGAATTGTGGTGCTGGAGGAGACTCTTGAGAGGCCCATGGACTGCAAGAAGATCAAACCTATCCGTTCTGAAGGAAATCAGCCCTGAGTGCTCACTGGAAGGACAGATCCTGAAGCTGAGGCTCCAAGACTTTGGCCACCTCATGAGAAGAGAGGATTCCCTGGAAAAGACCCTGATGCTGGGAAAGATGGAGGGCACAAGGAGAAGGGGGCGACAGAGGACGAGATGGTTGGATAGTGTGTATCTGAAGAAGTGTGCATGCACACGAAAGCTCATACCAAGAACTAACTTAGTTGGTCTTTAAGGTGCTACTGGGAGGAATTTTTTTTGTTTTGACTACCAGCATGAGTTTGACCAAACTGCGGGAGGCAGTGGGAGACAGGAGTGCCTGGCGTGCTCTGGTCCAGGGGGTCACGAAGAGTCGGACACGACTAAACAACCTTCTCATGGACACGCGAGCCCACACCTGCGATCCTTCTATAGCGAGGATCGAGGGTCTTTTGTCTTTCCTCCTCGTGGCATTTATTACCACGACCTTTATGGTACTGAAGCACCGAGTGATCTCGCTCGGGAAAGAAAGCGCAGCTCGAGCGCGAACAAGATGGCGAGGAGCTATTAGTCTGGAGCCGGAGCCTCGCACAGGTTCCCTCCCACTCCTGCTTTCCCCTGACTGGAATTTTCCACTCCAGCTGCCTTCGCTCGCAGCCCGCCTCCCTCCCGTCTTGTCCACACCCAGTTCCAGAATAATTCCCGGCTTCGCACATGTTATTCCCTCAGAACTCCTCCCCAGGCCAACATATTAATACGGGGCGGGGCTAATTCGCTTTATCCGCGAGAGGCAAACCACGGGAGGGGGCGGGAGAAGACGCTTTTGTGTGTGTTGTGTTGTGTGTGTTTTGTGTTGTGTTGTGTTGTGTGTGTGTTTTGCCGTTGTTTCCCTCCTCCCTCCCTTTTCCCGCGCTCTAATCGGGAGCTCAGGGGAGCTCGTGTGGTTGAAAGGCGGAGACGCAGCGCTTTTTGCTCCCCTTATAAGGAGAGGACAGGGACGGGGACTGCGATTGGCTGATTCAAATGAGCAGGAGGCTTAGCAACAGGCTTCCTATTGGCTGCCGGGCGGGGAAGGGAAGGAGGGGGAGGGAGAACCCACAGCGCCCCGCGCGATGGAAGAAATGGAGGGAAGGGGAATGAGGCCATGGGGGAGGGAGCTGGGTTTGGGGCGACAGTTTCCGTGGCAACAAACGGGAGGATTTCGCTTCACGGAAGCCGTGGGGTGGAATGTCCCCCGGAGGGGTGGGAATGTGGGGAGTGGGTCTTCCCAACGTGGCTTGAAGGAGGGGAGGTGCGATTTAGCTTGTTGGTTACCTCAGAATATTATTTCAGAAGCAAAACTAGCCTGATAACACATTTGAAAGACGAGAAGAAAAGCACGGCAGCACACCTGAGAGACTTCTATTTGGTGCATCTATAGCAGTGTTTTTCAACCTTTTTTGGGCAAAGGCACACTTGTTTCATGGGGGAAAAAATCACGAGGCACACCACCATTAGAAAATGTTAAAAAATTTAACTCTGTGCCTATATTGACTATATATAAAGTAATTCTCTTGAATAGGAATCAAATAAACACAAAGAAAGTATTTTATAATTACTTTATTATGAAATAGTAAGTAAACAGAAATGTGAAAAATTATAAAATACTTTATTTTTAAATCTTTCGAATTTTTCCATTTTTCCCACGGCACACCAGGCAACATCTCGCGGAACAGTGGTTGAAAAACACTGATCTATAGGACCATAATTCCCTCTTATTAAAAGCACCAGAATAGTTTCAGCTTTCAATAATACACAGTTTGCACAATCCCTAACCATATCACTAGTATTATAGTGGCCTTAGGTGAGCATTAACCACTCCCGTCATGAAAGGTTGCCATGTAAGAGAAGCCCTCGGGCAGATAGGAAAGATTCCTGGAATGTGTGTGTGTGTTTGGCAGCTGACAAATCATTTATTTATATGTGTTAATGGATGCGTAATATATCTGTGTTATTAATTATGTTTGTGTGTGTTGCTATTTCATATATAACAAAAAAAAAATAGTGTCTGTAGCAACACAAAAACACAGATCAGAGAAACACCTATCAAAGATCCTATCAAAACTCAAGGGAATTCTGGAATCTTTCTGGAAAAGTAAAACTAGTGTCTGAACACAAACAGGGAAGTGGGGTGGGGTGTCTGAAACCAACTTTTGAAAGGTAGGAGCTATTATGGGTTATATTATAATTCACATAGTGAGGGGATGCAGATAAGAGCTTATAGTTGTTGTTGTTTAGTCATTTAGTCGTGTCCGACCTTCGTCACCATGGACCAGAGCACGCTAGGCCTACCTGTTCTTCCACTGTACCTCAGCAGTTTATCAAACTCATTTCAAGTAGCTTTGGAGAAGAAATATACACCAATAAAATCAGTGAGATAACTCTCGACTTTTCCGTATCATCTTTCAACTCTGTTCCCAGGACCTTCTCACACCGGTCCTTTCTATTCCTCAATGAGGTGGCCAAAGCTTTTCCCTCTCAGTCTTCAGTGATCTGTCCTTAGTGCTTACTAGGCTTGATTCGCTTCAGAATGGAGAGCGCTGTTCATCATTCTTGCAGTCCATGGCCTTCTACAGAGCTCGCTAACACCACTTAACTTCAAAACATCATTCTTCGCAATTCAGCACTTTTCATATTTGTAAACAGCTCTCAACTTCCTCTCACCACATCGTTAACCAGCTGTAGCGCTTCTAAGCGGATGGCGTCTTATGGATTCAAAGACCAGTCCATGCTCCGCATCCAGTTAGGGCTTTTAGAAGTTAAACGCGCAAGCACTTTTGAAACTTGGGCTCAGAAACCCCAGCTGAGAGCCAATGAAGTATTAAAATTGGCATAATATGACCCCTGCAACCTGCCCCATTCAACCATCTAGCAGCTGCATTTCGAACCAGTTGTAGCTTCCAAGTTCATTTTGAAGGCAGCTCACATAAAGTGCTTAGATTAGCACTGTCCCAATATATCAGGTCAAGCAGTGTGGACAGAACAGATTGGTATGAAATAACAGAAAAACATGGTATTCCAGGAAATGTTTTCATATCAATAAGGAAATGCAGGCAGACCGTGTAATACATGTTCATCACTGTTCACGAGTACCATTAAAGCACAAAGCTGCCATAGGTTTTAATGTTTTGATAGGCACTTTATTAAATAGAACCTCAGATTAGTTAGTACAAGACAGAAAGGGGCAGACATCCACTGGAAGGAGATTTTGCAAATTGGCAATCCCCTTACATTCCGCCTTTTCTTTTCTTGACTGATTCCATTAAATCTCTTATTTCAACTCTGGCTGCAAATGGTGCTGCAAATTAAGGGCCCCTCAAGATGTGCCTTTTTATGGTGCATTCATGATGATTTATGCTCATGATGGGGCAGCCATACCCGATCCCACTTTCAATACTATTTGTGCATGCAATAGTTTCAAGGTGGACACACATGGCTTTATTCCCAATAGATGTGTGTCCAAAACTTCCTGCTGAAATCCTGTAACTTTTTATAGCACACATGTTCCGGTGTGTGGGTGTATCTATAGGGCAAGCGTGCCGCTCCAGAAAGCAATAATAGAACAATAGGGAAGCATCACACTAATAAAATGGAACAATGTGTGGACAATCCAGTATAAATCCACCACTAATGCACTGTTACTGTGCCTGTTAAATGTTGCAGAATGCACCTGTAAAAAAAAACCACCAGTCAAGAGGGACCCTAAATGATTTAAAAGGGGAAAAAATGGACAGGGTTATGGAATGAATTTGCTATTGTTGCAAGTCAGGAAAAAGATCTCTGAATTTTGAAAAAATTGTCACCATGGGTTACAGCAGCAATTCCAATTTTGCAAAGATATTTAATTCTACATCAGTCAAATGATAAATGAAATCTCCCCTGGGACTTACCCTGGCTTTTAATACACTGTGCTCAAGTGTGGCCACCTTTTCAAACAAGATATCAGTAAAATGCATTGAGGTTTAAAAGGCCAATAAAGGCTCAGCTGAATGTCTTTCTATACCAAATTGGTGGGCCCCGAAAGAGAAAATAAAGATACAGAAGAACACCTCAGAGCCTGAGGCTGGACTATTCCCTCCCCCACCACAGGGCCTTTCTATCACCATTAGGAAAGTGCATTGTGGTTTAATTTCAAATCATGCAGACAAACATGGGTCACCTGGCTTCATATATTTGTGGGGCAGGTACAGGTGGGTTTGGGACAAAAGGTGCCTGCAAGGTTGCTTGTGCTGCTGTTTGTTATCCCTGAGCACAGTGCTATCCACATGCCAACAATCAGCAGATGGTCTCTGCTTGGAAAGTGTTGCACAAGGCCCTTTGCCGTTCCCACCTTTACCTGCCCCACACCTGATGTCATATAGAAAGTCAAGTGTAGGACTGGTGGGCATGATTGGGCCAAAATAGCCTCATGGATCAAGTGGGGAGGCCTAATTAGGCCCATGGAGTGGAAGATCTCTCCCTTGTGTTAGGGTGTGCTCAGGTGGGGAGCAAACAGAAGCAGGGGTGCAATGTCTGAACTCAGTCACTGAACATCATCACACTTGTGTCATTGAATGATGCACTTAATGAGGTTCCACACCAGTACTGACTGTATAAGGGGTTATGTT